AAAAAAAAATCTGCCATAATTCAAATCATGCAGACATGTTATACTCTCAGAAAGATTAAAACTTTATTAACATGTATTAACTGTGCACACCAATGGGGTTCAGTGTGATAGTTCCATACATGCATATGGCACACATGAATCATATCTGACCTCCTTACCCCATCTCTCCCTTTCTAGTCTCCACTATTCTGCTTTTGAGTTGAGTTTTTCAATTTCCACATAATGAGAGAATATGTGGTGCTTGTCTTTCTGTATCTGGTTTATTTCACTTAACATAATTTCCTCTAGTTCCATGCATTGTGCCACAAGTGACAGGGTATTATTCTTCTTTATGGCTAAACAATGCTCTAGTGCATGTATTATATATACACATACACATATATAATACATGCAATGTATATGTATACATGTATATCTATACATGTATACATATATTTATGTTTATCATATATATATACATATATCTATATCACAGATATATGTATGTGATTAAGTATATATATGATATTGACATGTGATATATATGTATGTAGGTATATCCATATATGATATGTATACATATACACATACATATGAGTATATATTATATCACATATATGATATATCACATTTTCTATATCCATTCATCTGTTGACTGGATTCTATTTTAATTCTGTATTTAGCTATTGTGAATAGTAAGTAAGTACTATGTGGGGATACAGGGATGTCTTTGGTATGCTGATTTCAATTCCATTGGATCTGTGCTCAGAATGGAATAGATGGATCATATGGTAGATCTGTTTTTAGTTTTTTGAGGAACTTCCATCCTGATTTCCATAATGGCTATAGTAATTTACATTCTCACCAACAGTATAGAATAGTCCCTTTTCTTCCACATTCTTGCCAGCATTTTTTTTATAATAACTATTCTAACTGGATTGAGATGGTATCTCATTGTAGTTTTGATTTGCATTTCCCTAATGGCTAATGATATTGAGCATTTTCTCATATATGTGTTGGTTATTTGTATCTTTTCTTTTGAGAAGTGTTTATTCAGATAATTAGCCCATTTTAAAATTGGATTACTGTTTTTTCTTAAGTTTTTTTGAGTTCTTATACATTAATCCTCTTTCAGATAAATAATTGGCAGATATTTTCTCCCATTCTGTTGGTTGACTCTTCACTCTGTTGATTGTTTCCTTTGCTGTGCAGAAGCTTCTTAATTTGATGTAATCCCCCTTTTTTTGGTTAATTCTTACATTGATTTCCTGAGCTAATGGAGTTCTATCCAGAAAATCATTGCCTATAAAATATCTTGAAGTGTTTTCTTCCATTAGTATCAGAGTTTCTGGTCTTTTATATTTAGGTATCTGATGCATCTTGAGTTGACTTTTGTATAGGGTGAGAGATAGGGGTCTTTTGCAGGTAAGTATCCAGTTTTCCCAGCACCATTTATTGAAATGGCTGTCCTTTTCCCAATGTATGCTTTGTGGTGCCATTTTCGAGAATCAGCTGGCTATAGATGGGTGGGTTTATTTCTGGGATCTCTACTCTTTCCCATTGGTCTACCTGTCTGTTTTTTTGCCCATACCATGTTGTTGTTTTGATATTATTCTGAAGTATGTCTCTTTTTTTGTACCAGGGATTAAACCCAGGGTCACTCAACCACTGAGCCACATTTCCAGCCCATTTTTTATTTTTTATTTTGAGACAGGATCTCACTAAGTTGTTCAGGGCATTGCTAAGTTACTGAGACTGGCTTTGAACTTGTGATCCTCCTGCCTCAGCCTCCCAAGCCACTGGGATTACAGGTTTGCACCACTGTGTCTGGATTGAACTATGTCTTAAAATCAGGCATTATTCTCTTTTCTTAGTATTGCTTTGGTTATTCAGGATCTTTTTTTTTAATATGTATATATATGATTTGTAGTATTGTTTTTTCAGGTTTTGTGAAGAACATCGTTGGTGTTTTGATAGGGACTGCGTTGAATTTTTGTCTCCTGTTTTGGCCTCAAAGATTGCTCTGAAATGATGAGTGTGTACCTGTGTACATGTGTGTGCACTTAAGATAATTTTATAACAATCCAAGAAAGCAACTTCATTAGGCACCTGTGGTGAGTGAGTGGGGCACCTTACACCCACTATCTCATTTAATCTTTCCATGATGTTTTAAGTTGGTATTATTATCCCCACTTTAGAGGTAAGGAAACTGATAGTACAAGAGGTTGAGTAACTTTTTAACCTCCAGAGTGGTAGAGCTAGGATTGGAAGCAGGGTCTGTCTGACACTACACTGCTTCGTCCATTCAGCCTGTGAGCCCCCTTTATGTAGGGTGCTTTATAAAATGCTCAACCTCTCTTAAGCTTTTGTTTTATATTTACTACTTTCCAAAATTTTACTGATCAAAAAATCATTGGTGTTCCTTGTTCCCTAACAGGAAGCATTTCTTGATTTCCCTTTATCCACTGAATGTTCGTCCTGGATCTGGGGTACTTTCGGATCTCCACTATTATGATTTAACAGTTTACCTTATTTTCTTTATCACAATGTAGGTTAAAGAGGTTTATTTGCTGCATCTGTGTCAATAAAGAACCAAATTGTTAGTGTTTGCCCTTGCATTCACACTTATGAACCAGGGAAACATTCTCACTCTTTATGAGTGAGCAGCACTGTGTGTAGTGACCTGGGAAATGGTATTTAAAAATAGTTTGTCTATACACATTTGGAAGGATTTAAGGGTACTGTGGTCTAAGCTGCAAAAATAGTATCACTATATCTTAGCAGAGTCTGAAAGGAGTGACTGTCGGGTAGAAAATGAGATAGATGGTATTTATTTGGTCATGTCTGCACTGAGGGAAACCACCATAG